GAGCGGGGATCCAGGTTCTTTGTTTGAAATGAGAGGCGTGGCTGCTTTGATTGATTGTGGGGCTCTGACTGCCGGAGCCAGCAACTCTGAGATTGCCCGTGAGCTACTTGAGTTTCTGGCAGAAGGAAAGGTGACTGTTCTGAGTGCTGCGTTGTCTTGATGTGGCTGCGAATGGTTCACATCTCTTGGCATGTTTATTGTGCGCAAACGCAAAGAGAAGGGTTTGTTGCTGATTGCGCACAATTTGTTGCAGGAAGAATGTTCAGTGGCGTGACCTACTTTGACACATCCAAGAAAGCACTTCGTTTCCAAAGTTCCGTGATCTCCATGAGATTGCTTTGAAGTAACGCAATTTCAAGGCTCGTCGTTTCAATCAGATGCTGAACCAAGGATTGGATGATTTTGGACTATCATGGGCGTTGCTTGCCAAAAAAGTCTTCGCCTGCCCGAGAGTCAGAGACTTGAATCGTATGGAAAGGTAGTCCAATTGTCCCAAACAGCGCTGCAATTAGGTGTTGAGTGTTGCTTGCTGCAGCAAAGGAGTGTTTTGCCTTCTTCGACGAAGCAAGATCACGTGGGGCAGACTTGAAGCTAGCCATGACAGCGAGAGCCATGGTGACTTGAAAACGAATGTCCAAGAGTGCAAATGTCCGTTTGCTGGGACCAAAACCTTGCAAAGTTAAAGCAGAAGCGACGTTTTCAGAGATCATCACAAAGCCGGCAGCCAATGCAACATGTGCACAATTAACATGCATTCTGCATCAGCAAAGAGATCTCTATTCGATACCAGGTAATGCCCAGGAGTCTTGAAATGTTCATTGTTGTTCGCAATAGAGAGACCCAGGTCCACAAGGTTTGCAGAACTGCAGGTGACCGTGGGGCCCAAGTGCAGCAAGGACAAGTTGATGCAAGCCGTGGGGCGAATGCGACAACTCGGCAAAGGCCAAAGCCTGGAATTCATCAGCTCCCCAGAGGCTCTCAAGCACGAGCAGTGCGATGGCCTAATAGCGATGAGCTCCACGACCACATTCTCATGGTGTTCTTGATGCAAGTAGGAACATGCGCTGAAGCCCTGAAAGGTCACCAAGAAGATTCGAGATTTGACAATGCGTGACCTGGGCCAGGCAAAGAAATGGGCAGAACCAACATGTTTGCGTGTACAGTACTCTAAGCTTTCTTTTTTGGTCCAACGGGTTGCAGAGTGGTGGGCAGGTGAGCGGAAGATGGGCCAGGACTGACAGCACGTTGCGAAGATCTGATGTCAAATAGTTCGAGTGCATTGTCGGCCGCCAGGCCCGTTCTTGGTCCTTCAGAGATCACTTCAAAGCACCTTCTTGAATGGGTGATGGCCAATACTGCCCCACAGTTGCACAGTAAGACGTCCCCAAAGGGATGAGTTTAAGATGAAACATGAATCTATTTTAATTCTATTTTAATTCTTATTGTTACTAGTAGTAAGGCACTTGTTTCTACTAGCGTGGCACTTGTTACTAATGCGTTGCAACTTGTCACTCAATTATTGTTCGAGACTTAGCACGGTCAGGCTCTAGTTTGATTGGAACGAGTCCTTCTTTCTGCCCCGTACCATGTGTCACATTGAAGCTGAGGTTCAAGCCGCAGAAGAGGCATTGACCGAGTGGGCAACTCTTCTTAACAGTTGAAGAGTTTGCGGGTGGCATTATTGACTGGCTTCGCACAATTCACTGCAGAGCGACGGTTGTTCTTCTTTGCGTTGTCATGCACAGAACGGTTTTGTGCTATTTTGGAGTCTGAGGCCAAGCAGGGATTGCTCTTCACCACCACTCATGCACACCCGGAACTTGCAGTGTTAGATGAAACCGTTGAGCTCAGCTTCTTCTACGGAAAAGCTTTGGTCCTTCAGCTGCATTTTCATGGTTTGACGGTGTGAGTGCAGCTTCTGTTTGATCACATCGCACATTCATAGAGTACTGTGGACCAAAGTCATGAATCTAAAACGTGTCAGAGCTATCTATGCGTACGTCTAGGACCTCACTGTGGTACACGGGTTGGGGCCATCAACGGGTTGAGGTGTCTCGAGAGGTTCCAGAGGTGATTGGGCAAGAGATGAAACTGTATGCAGAGAGACTTGGCGCCACAAGTACATGACACGGAGAGGTTGCCGAGGTGTCGTGTCAAGGGGTTGGCTGAACAACTTGTGTCCTTTCGTTAACAGTATTGCGGGGTACATGTAGGAGAATGTTGGAGAACAACTTGTGTGAGTTTGTGGTGGTTGCAGCTGCAGACAGCTTTTCTCGGGCAGTAGCCAAAAGCATCAGGATGGGATTATGGCAAAGTCGTGAACACACAGAAGGCTTCAGAAGTAACATCCATGCTGCAGGTCTCTGATGCAGAAGCGGCTGGTTCACGTTCATACAGAGATTAAATGCAATTCGATATATTTGTTGCTACCTTGTAACATACATTACATATTGAGTCACGTAGTACAGTTCATGACTGTCCACTGGTTCAGTTAACTTTTGCGCCACATGCGCGCCAGACATCCACCAATTGCATCACATGCGCAAAACCAGTTAAGCTGCTGTTTGACATGTTGCACGCGTCAGAATTCCTCTCTTCTTGTGCTGCACACTCCACAAGACTCTGCTGCATCAGATCCATTTCCAGGTTGTCTTGCATGCACGCCCCTTCTCCCCTCCATTTGCCTTTCCTAGATGTAGTGACTAGAGATTGCGCTACCTTACGTTAGTGACATGACAGGACATTGTTTCACTAACGATCCATCTTTCATGTAAGTATGCCATAGTCCTACCACAAACTAAGTGTCTTTTTTGAAGCTAGGACCTAGATGAGCTTCACCAAAAAAGTACGTATACATCAGCACATTTGCACGCACTTATGACCGATCGTCTGACCCGACCCGATTACTTTTCCTATGGATTCACGTCCCTACAAAATATGAATGGCTAGACGTGCTTGCCTCCCATATTGAGATACAGTACCCACAAGACATGCCAACAGAGTACCTACATAGCCAAAATACGTGCAACGTCCTGCACGCGCACACACACACACACACATATGCATGTGCGCATCGTACATGGATACAAAGATATCAATGGAACCTGAACGCTATGATATTGATAGGCAGATCTGTACCTAACGCCTGAAGCTACGTACATATATCAATTGAACCTTAGTCGAAGATATGCGTACCCGAACGCCCATCCTCCAAGGAGGGCAGGTCTGGGAGGGCCCGACGACTCGGACGGAGCGCTTCTCAACGAGATCATGCGTCGTTCAGAGAGCTATGGAGCCGGAGTTCGTGTGACTGCCAACGTGCTCGACGAAGAGCAACCTGGCAGACGACGACAAAGCAGAACTGAGCAAAATTGAATCGAAAACAGGTGGAATTCAGCCAACGCGGGGCAGCTAAGGGTTTTCTTTAGGAGTTGTCGTGTGTGTATGTGTGTGTGTGTGTGGAAGTTGATTTGAGCTCAGGTATGAGCGTGAGCTCGAAGTGGAAAAGGAGGTCGAGAAGGAAGTCGAGAAGCAGTTGCCCAGTGTGCAGCCAAACCACGAGGAAGATTGGAACACGGCACAATTGCCGATTTCAAGGAGCATCAGGGACTTGGGCATCGAAGTCGTCACTTTGCTGACAATCTTTGGCTCGACGGTCTCATTGAAAGGAATCAAAGCTTGGCCGAACACAGCCATCTTTGCAACGAAGAACTTCCATCAGACAATCCTGATGCACAAAAAGCGACTCAATTTGGACGACTATTTGCGACCTGTCGACGCACTCGTTGTTTTCCCAGCGTCGGGAGAGGTTTTGCTCCTTTCCGAAAGGGAGGCCGATTCGGCTCTGGAGGCATTTTGGAACAGATCAAATTCTTCCGAGAGTTTCTTCTCAAAGTGGTGGAAAGCCAAGTCCTACAATACCCAGAATTTCTTCATCAATTGGGCGTTGTGGCGGAACGGCTTCTTGTCGAAGCTTCCAGGCCTGCTTCCTACGGATGCTGTATCAGGTCTTCCGGATCTTCTTCAGGACGCGTCCAGATTGGTGTCCATCCAGGTGTTTATGGGCGACACGCGGTTCAAAGAAGAGGCTCAGAAGAAGGAGCTCCAAGATCTTGTGACCTTTGTCGATCGATCATGTGGAGATGCGAGGGCCATCAAAGAGCTTGAACCTTGGTAGCAAATCAAGCTTTTTTGCGCGCTATTATGTCTATACATTGTAAGATGCCCTTTCGCCTCTTTTGCAACAATGTCAGATCTCCATGTCGGCTTGTGGGCTTGAGGTGAGTGTGAGGGGAATGATGCATCGCTTTGAAAGAAGTGACCTTGCATGGATCCTCAACTCCCGGTAGGCTGATTTTGCTTAGGCGGCTTCCTGGCATGTTTTCCATGATTCATATGTGATGTGACTTCGCCCAATTCTTGTGTGCAACTGTTGGGAGCTGCTGCTCTTAGATCGTTTGCGAGCGCCAACGTCATTGTAAAACATACGCCCTCGCAATGCTGTTGGCAAAATTTCGAATGGCAGTCCTCTTGGATTTGACCAACTGGTCTTGGAGGCAATCCCATTTGCGTTTTTGTATCTTTACAGGTGTCAGTTTCTACGGCTCGTGTCTGAGCTGTTCTGACCATTATTGAAAGTTAGAAGTGACAGGCATGGTCGATCATGAGAGCAAAGATGCCCTGCAGCATTGAATGCTTTGCAATTGCGCCGTGGGTTGTTGGCCACGGGCCCTGTGTTGCAACTTTCCGTAGCGCCCATCTTCGGAGGAGGGCCAGTTTCTGGAGTCTTGTTCCTGCATGTTCCTGCTGAACACTTGATTGGCGGAGGCGCTGCCAGTTCCAATGTGTTTGTTTATATCAGATGAATGTGGCGCAAGCCCAAAGTTCTCAGTTCGGGGATCTTCCATTCTGAAAGTCCAGAAGGTGTGCAGGTGCCTCCTAGCACCGACTTTGAAAGCCAATGTTGGACCATCCGATCGCACCCAACTTGTAGCCCTAAGGTTGCAGGAACCAATGCACTTGAAGGTGTTGAAGGCCGGGTTGGGCCAGTGGGTCCATTGGGTCGGGGTGTTTGGTTTCGTCTTCGCCGAGCGCCCACCATGGGGTCACTTGCGATCGTCTCGTCGCGTGGTGTACGGATTTGAGGGTGGTTTCATATTATATGTTGGAGATTCAAGATAGGACAACTGGAGGGGGTATGTATGACCCCCTGATGATGGCGGCTCCGTCTGAGAAAATGAGACGAGTTGACGAGTCGTTGTGACCCCAGCTACCTAGTAGCGTCCTTGCTCCTAGTAGCGATGCCATGAGCCCCTAGTAGCGATGCCCTTGCTCCTAGTAGCGTCCTTCAGCTTTGCTTGAGCAATTCGAAACCATGGCTCTCCTCCGAAGGCCACGCCCGATGGTCACCTTTGGCACGCAGCCGAGGTGCCCGCGGGACGTTCGGTGACGTTCGACGCGGCGACGTTTGGTTAGACCGAAGGAAAACACGATAACGTTAAAGTGGATGAATGCGGATAGGCCGATGACTGGAAGTTATGGGGCGTTGCGTGGTGGTATCCGCTTGTCGTTTCAAAGTGTCCATCGGAAGTGTTTAGTCGAACCCGGAATGGTTGGTACTTTTGAGAAACGATATCAAAACTTCACAAGCAGTATCAGTATGAACGATTCTTTGATTTCCTTGCTAATTACTCTTTCTTCCAATTTCGGAATTTGCTATATGTGCCTCTTTTCTGTAGCATCTCAATGCACAAACGTTGCCTGATCTATCGGGTCTAGACTCCTTTGGATCTCCGGCTCATTTGCACCTGTCCAGGAGCCTGTTGGCGGGATTGCAGCTCCCAACGTTTGGAGAGACGACGTGGGGGGATCCAAGATGACACATGTCGCTCAGTTGTTGTAAGGCTGAATGTGCTTTGGAAGACACATTTGAATGATTCCGTCACTAGACTTGATGGCTGGTATGTCCAGCTGACGGGGTGCTCAGCATTCTTCCTACAAATCATGTTGCAAGGTGTTTTGGCACAGGCGGCCATCACACCAAACGGTCACGAAATCATTGTGCACAAAACACAGGGCTTCATCAAGAAGTAGTTTCTGAAAGAAACAAGATGGAGCCCACGAACCCGAATGCAAACACGTTCGAAAAGCTACATATGTCCAAATGACACTCTTGTAGGACACTCTTGTGGGACACTCTTGTAGGAAACTCTTGTGGGACATTCTTACGGGACACTCTTGTGGGACACTCTTGTGGGACACTCTAGTAGGAAACTCTTGTGGGACACTCTTGTAGGAAGCTCTTGTGGGACGCTCTTGTAGGACACTCTTGTGGGACACTGTTGCGGGACACTCTTGTGGGACACTCTTGAGGGACACTCTTGTGGGACACTCTTGTAGGACACTCTTGTGGGATACTCCTGTAGGACACTCTTGTGGGACACTCTTGTAGGAAGCTCTTGTGGGACGCTCTTGTAGGACACTCTTGTGGGAAGCTCTTGTGGGACACTCTTGTAGGACACTCTTGTGGGACACTGTTGCGGGACACTCTTGTGGGACACTCTTAAGGGACACTCTTGTGGGACAGTCCTGTGGCTAACTCATTTGGGACACTCTTGTGGGACACTCTTGTGCGACACTCTTGCAGGACACTCTTGTGGGAAGCTCTTGTGGGACACTCTTGTAGGACACT